AGCCTGACACGGGCCGGGGCTGAAAGAAAGGCGGCCTCGCCCCGGCTGTGATAAGGGCCTGAGAGCGGGCGCTTATCGGCGCCGTGCCAGGCGGACGCAGCTCGGGCACACAGCCGGGCCTTGCTGGGGGCTCACAGGGTGTGCGGGGGAGAGGGGGCGCCTGCCAGGGGGATTTGGGGTGTCCGGGATGGGTTCAAAGCGGCAGCGGCCCCTGAGGGCTGAGACAAGCCAAGCCCGAACCCAAAGAGGGGAACCTCCCCCCTGAGCCGTGATGAGCTGGGTTTTGTCCCTCCCTGCAGGGATGCCCGCGGGCTTTTTGGGCTCCCTGGAAAGAGGGCATCCCTGCACATGGGGCATTTAGGGAGCAGGAAAGCAACTCCTGGACACACGGGCTGAAACTCATTTGGAATTTAGTTCCTGAGTTTCAGAGGTGGCATCTGTGCGGCTGTGCTGGCAGAAAACCTCCCTGTGCCCAGAGCTGGCTTCGCTTTCAGCGCTGGAGCGAGGGATTAAGGAGAACAGGGCTGGGACGAGGCTGTGCCAGAGCCTGAGCCGGGTCCATGAAGGGATGGCGATGTCGGAAGGAGAAAAGCGGGCATTGTCTCACCCCGCGGGGCCGGGCCCTGCCCAGGTGCCTTAATCCGCGCTGGGCTCCCCGCAGCCCTTTGTTGTTTGTTCGGGAGCCGGGTGGTGGCTGGGATGAGCTGAATGGCGGCATTTAGGGAGGGATGGAGGGGAGGGGGCTGGCTGGAATTTCCCTCCAGGGGTTGTATTCCAGCCCAAACAGCGCCTGCCGATGCCCGCGGCCGTCCAGCCCCGGGACAGCGAGTTGGAAGGGCCGGAGCGTGTCCGGACACACACACGGACACCGGCAGGATCCCCTGCGGGGCCCAGCTCCACCGGGCAGGGGCTGCGGGGCTTGGGCCGAGCACCACGGAGCCGCTTCTCGGCTGAGCCCGGCTCGGCTGAGCCGAGCTGCCCTGGGCCGGGGGAGATCCCTGAACAAACCCCACCTTACCTGCTCCGGGCATCGCCTGCGCCGGGGAGCCGTCGAGCGGCGCTGCCAAGGGCAGAAGCCGGGGCTGGAGAGCCGGAGGGGAGGGGAGCTGGGGCCGAGGCTGGGATAGGCTGGGAGCGGAGCCCGGAGCTCACCTGCAGCCGGGCCTGAGGGCAGGGCAGCGGTTCTGGTTCCACGGGGGGAGGATGAGGAAGGTCGAGGACTCCATGCCCTCCCCGGCACCCGGGGAGCGGCACGGCTGGCACGGGAGGGACCGGGAAAGGCTCCCTGCCGCTGCCCAACTGTTCCGTGACTGGAAAAGCAGCGCCGGGCGCTGTGCAAACAGCGGGGAGGCGATCGAGGCGGTTTCGCCGGGAGCAGGCGGTGACAGAGATGGGATTTGGGAGATGGGCAAGGGACAGGGGCGGGGACGGCTCCGGCGGCGCCTGGGACAGGAGAGCCCGTGCGGCTTCCGTCAGAATCCAGCCTGGAAGCGCCAGCGCTCCAGCTCGGGCCAGGTCCAAACTGGGAGCTCAGGGCCCCTGCAAGGACACAGCCCAGTTCCCTGGGAATAGCTGGGAATTCTTTACCCTCAGGGCCCTGCAAGGACACAGCCCAACCTCTGGGAAGAGCTGGGAATTCTTTACCCTCACGGCCCTGCAAGGACACAGCCCAACCTCTGGGAAGAGCTGGGAATTCTTTACCCTCACGGCCCTGCAAGGACACAGCCCAACCTCTGGGAAGAGCTGGGAATTCTTTACCCTCAGAGCCCCTGCAAGGACACAGCCCAGTTCTCTGGGAATTCTTCACCCTCAGGGAGCCAGCCAGGGGCACAAAGCAGGCGTGGGGGTCACGGTGTGAAGAGGTAGAAGTTTATTGGAATATAAACATTCAGATAACCTGTAAGATAGAAAAAACCCAACAACAACATATACAGACACTTGTTGGAAGGAGACGTTGAGGTATTTATCCACCGCCTAGGCTATCACATTTGTTTTTATTTACTTATTTTATTATTTTTTTTTCTCTTTTAAATAGGTAAGAAAACTAGTTAGCAAGGCTGCTGCAGCTGTTTGGAGAGAACATCTGACCGCAGTCCCCTGGGAACGAGCAGGCACACCAGCCTCCCCTCACCCCACCACCCTCCGTGCCTTCCCCGCAGCCCCCGGAGCAGGCTCGGCTCGCTCTTCCCCCCTGGAAGCGCCGGGGCAGCAAGCTGGGGGCTGGCCGGGGGTTTTGGCTGGTGTGTGGAGCTGGGGGAGGATGGAGCACTGCCCTCGGGAACGTCCTGCTGGCAGCATCAAACCCTGAGTACAACACGGGGCTGGGGCGGCCCCCGCTCGGCCTCCCCCGCTCTGCTGCTGGTTTCCAGCATCCCCACCCAAAGCCTGGCAGCTCAGCAGGAGACCCGCAGCTCAGGCTGCCAGGGCCAAAGCCAGGCTGAGGGAAAGGGTTAACTCTTCACAGTCTGGATGGTCCTTGTCACCCCGGGCTGGGAAAAGGACCGGTTTATTGTTGCAGCTTATTTAACTGAGGTATCTGTTACGCTTCCCGACCTGATTCTTTCCCTGAATTGGATACAAAACAATCTGTTAGTCCCTGGCTAGTTCCAGTCTAGGTTGAGTAAAGCTTATAAACATTAATACTCTAGTAGTGTCCAAGCAGTTCAGTGATTCGAGTGCCTTTCTGTGCAAGAAAACACAACGTTAGCAAGTGAGACAAAGCAGCCCCACCCCGGAGCAGCCTCTGATCCCCGGGGCCAGGGAGCAGAGCAGAGGGAAAAGCAGAAAGTGCCCCAGTCCCACTCAGAGGAAACAGCCCAACCCCACCCAAGAATAAAATAAAACAACCAAAAGAAAACCCAAAAAAAAAGGGGGAGAAAAATAATCTGATTGAGTCCCAGAGGCTGGAAAATCCTCTGGGAGTCTGTGAGGATGGAAGGAGCCTGCGGGTCAGCCCGGCTTCCCCGCCCACAGGGAGGGCAGCGCTCCCTCCGAGAGCAGCTGGGCACAGCACCCCTCCCAGGACACGGGCATCCCGGTGATCCCCGGGGACAGGGGGCAGGACAGCCCTGCCACAGTGCAGGAAGCAGCAGGAGGGCAGAGCCCGGAGCTGGGAGAGCGAGGACAAGCACAGATCCCAGGGGCAGGGTCACCCCTGCTCTGTTTTCCTGCTGTCCCGCCGTGCACATGTCCTGGGATGGGCTCCTGGAGGGTGGGGAAGCCACTGCTCCTCTGCTGAGCCTTGTCTGAACTCCCTGTCTTTGGTGATCCATTAAAAGCCAACAGAAATAAAAGCAAACACAAAGTCAGCAAACCCACCTATGAAAACCCCCAAGCGATAGGATATGCCAATACTTCCTGAAGAGGTTAAAAAAAACCAACCCAACACAAACAAAAGCAACCCAACAAGTACATATCTGAGGTATTTCGTCTGCTCAAAAAACCTGACTCGGGCCTGCAGCACGGGAAGGACGTCACAGGGCAGGAGGGATGGCAGGGATGGCACCAGGGCAGGGGATGGGGAAAGCAGGGTGGGGACAGCACAGGGGGACAGCACCAGGCCACCTGAGCAGCTGATCCACAGGGAGCTCCAGCTCTGCTTCCAGCAGGGGCTCCCAGGGCCAGGAAGGGCTGGATTCCCTGGGCTCTGCTCCTCCCTGGCAGCAGGAGGCCTGCCCTTCTCGGGTACAGTCAGAGGGGGTTTCTTCAGAGCCCCAGATCCCCACATTTACACCCCACCTGCAGCCCTGTGCTGAGCACACAGCCCTGCAGAGCTCCCAGAGCTGCTCCAGGGAGCCTGCACCAACCTGAGTGACCCTGCTACGGGGACACAGTGGGACACATGGAACCCCAGCATGCCCAGGCCCTGTGTCACTCCTCAGGGACACTCAGGACTCGAGGGGTGAGGTGGCAGCAGCCAGAACTGAGCAGCTGATGGTGCCAGAACCGTGGAGAGGAGCAGCAGGGAGGACATGGGGACACAGCAGGAAGGGACACGAGCAGATTGCCATGGGAGGACAGGGCCAGGCACACCCCGGCTCTCAGGATTGTCAAAACATGGAGTTGTGGGTGGGAAGAGCCCTGGTGGCCCTGGGTCCAGCAGAACCAGGGCTCCAGCAGAGCCAGGGTTCCACCAGAACCAGGGCTCCAGCAGAGCCAGGGTTCCCAACAGAACCAGGGCTCCAGGAGAACCAGGGCTCCAGCAGAACCAGGGTTCCCAACAGAACCAGGGCTCCCAGCAGAACCAGGGTCCCACCAGAACCAGGGCTCCACCAGAGCCAGGGTTCCCAACAGAACCAGGGCTCCCAACAGAACCAGGGTTCCACCAGAACCAGAGTTCCACCAGAACCACAGCTCTGGCAGAACCAGGGCTCCAGCAGAACTGGTGTTCCCAACAGAACCAGGGCTCCAGGAGAACCAGGGCTCCAGCAGAACCAGGGTTCCCAACAGAACAAGGGCTCCAGGAGAACCAGGGTTCCAAACAGAACCAGGGTTTTCAACAGAACCACAGTTCCCAACAGAACCAGGGCTCCCAACAGAACCAGGGTTCCACCAGAACCACAGCTCTGGCAGAACCAGGGCTCCAGCAGAACTGGTGTTCCCAACAGAACCAGGGCTCCAGGAGAACCAGGTCTCCACCAGAACCAGGGTCCCCAGCCCAGCCCTGGCCCTTTCCCTGCCCTGGTGACGTCCTGTCCAGGAGCTGTGGCCCCAGAGCCATCCCTGATTGAGAAACGCCAGGTGTGCCCCTCCTCCATGGGAACACCACACACCCTGGGAGGAGGAGGAACCAAAGAGCAAAAGGGAGGAAGGAAAGGGGGGAACAAAGCCAAAAAAAGGCCGGACAAAGAGATGATGAAGGAGAACTCGCTGGCATGGAAAGGTTTCACCACCATCACCACCACCACACCATCATCATCATCATCATCATCCTCCAGGTGCTGTGCAGCCACGAGAGCAGGTTCCTTGAGGTGAGGTATGTGTGCACTCCTGGGCAGCGCCCGTCACAGGGACCAGCTGGTGGAGGGCTCTGCGCCGGGCGTGCCCCGCGATGAGGTAGGGCTGGGGGAGCAGTGGGAGCTGCTGGAGCTGCTGGAGCTGCTGCTGCTGCACGAGCTCTGCGTGCCCGAGCTGGCCAGGAGCTGCACCACGGGCTTCTGGGCAAACAGCACCCCTGTGGGCACAGAGAGGCAAAGGGGCTCAGGCTGGCAAAGGGGAGCCTTTCCCAGGGCCAGGATCCCATCCCAGCACAGAGAGGGCAAAGGGGAGCCTTTTCCAGGGCCAGGATCCTATCCTAGCTCAGAGAGGGTTAGGTTGGCAAAGGAGAGGCTTTCCCAGCTCCAGGATCCCATCCCAGCACAGAGAGGGCTAGGTTGGCAAAGGAGAGGCTTTCCCAGCTCCAGGATCCCATCCCAGCACAGAGAGGACAAAGGGGAGCCTTTCCCAGAGCCAGGATCCCATTCTCAGCTCAGGGTGGCTGGTCTGGCTCCTGTGCTCAGCAGGGAAGGGGTGTCTGGAGCTGGAGCCTGCACAGGGATGCTGACCCTAAAGAAAAGAGATCCCAAATGGGTTCTGCCTTCAGGGAGCAGCAGCTCCCATTGGGGTTAGGGTCAGGCAGAGCCAGGCTTCCCACATGGGATTTGCCCAAGGATGCACAGGTGTGACCTGCAGAAGGGAACTATTCCAGGAGACAATTCCTGCTGGGAAAGCTGATCAAAGCCCCTCCTCAGGAGAACAGGGACAACTGTCCTTCCTATGAACGCTTCCAGGTGGATTTCAAACCCCTTCCCTCAGATTTTAAGGCACTAACACCAAGGGAAAGGTGCTGTTCCTGCCCAACCCAGCAAACAAGAATCGCCTCCTGCTGCCATTTGGCAGGGACCACCCCCGTCCCACCCATTCCTACTCCCCAGGAGGGACCGTCCCCTTTCCCAGGAGGGCTGTCCCGTTCCAGGAGGGCTGTCCCTGGGCTGTCCCGCTGCAGGACTGCCCTCTCACCGGCGTAGGTGGTGCCGTTGATCTCCACGGACATGTTGATGCTGCCGATGCCGTTCGGGGACAGGTTCAGCGCTGCCGCGTCGGCCTTGTCTTGTCGCAGGGAGGGAGGGAGGGAGGCAGAGTTAGAGGGCACCGATCCCGCTCCTGGCACTCCCCGGAGGTGAGCACAGCCCCCTTGGTCCCCACAGAATGCCCGAGGCCAGGCTGGACGGGGCATGGAGCACCCTGGGACTTGGAAGTGTCCCTGTGCTTGGCTTTGAGGTCCCTTCCAACTCAAACCATTCCAGGACAAGGCTACAGAGGTGCTGAAAGGCTTTGGTGAGGCTGGCATTGGGAAATGTCCCCCCGAGGGCCATTCCTGTCCCAAGGAAGGGCTGGGAGCACAGAGACAAGCCCGGATTTAACTCCCAGCTGGATTTGGCTGTGGCTCGCTGTGCTCGGACTGCAGCAGCTCCAGCGGCCACTGGAGGGAGGGAAAAGCCAGGGACACTCCATGAAAATCAGGATTTTCCCCAGCCTGGGCAGGGATGGGCAGCTGGGTTTGAGAGGAGCAGAATGCAGAATTCTTCCAGCTCCACAAGGGTGAGCCTGGATTTTGGGATTGCCCCTCCACGGAGGGCAGCAAGGCCAAAAAAAGCCCTCTAAAACTGAACCTAAATGTGGAATTTGGCTGGATGCAGAGCTGCCAGGAACTGGGAGCACTGACATCACAGAAATCATTGCTAAGATTCAGGATGAATTGTTTAAATCCAGGCTGGGGAAGAAGCCCAGAAACAAAAACATTTTCAAAAAGTAATACAATCTAAAAAAGAAAGAAGTTCTAAAAAAAAGAACTGCTGCTTCAGAGGAACCTGCTTTGACCTTTCCCACCCATATTTGTGGCCAAGCACCTCAAACCAGCACTGCTGGAGCAAGAACAGCTCTTCCCTTGCTTCCAAGCCGAGCCAAACTTGACCAGCTTGGAGCTTTGGCAAAGGTCACAGAATTCACAGAATGACCAGGTTGGAAGAGAGCTTCAAGGCCACTGAGTCCAACCCAGCCCCAACACCTCAGCTAAACCCTGGCACCCAGTGCCACATCCAGGCTTTGTTAAACACACCCAGGGATGGGGACTCCAGCACCTCCCTGGGCAGAACATTCCAGAACTTTATCACCCTTTCTGTGAAAAACTGTTTCCTAATATCCAATCTAAATTTCCCTTGGTGCAGCTTGAGAGTGTGTCCTGTGGTGCTGTCAGTGCTGCCTGGAGAGAGACCAACCCCAGCTGAGCACAGGCACCTTTCAGGGAGTCTAGAGACTGATAAGGTCACCTCTGAATCTTCTTCTGAATCCAGGCTGGATTTGGACGAGCTGGAGAATAAACCCAGCAGGAAAACCCAACAAACCTTGCACCTGAACACTTCTGTGCCACGCCCTCTGCCTGGGCCCCTCAGAGGTGACCCAGCCGTGTGTGTGTGTGACATTCCAGGCTGGCAGCTTTCCCCCTGTGCTGCTTCCTGAGGAGCTCAGCCCGCCGTGCCTCACCTTTGCCGTTGATTTTGATCTTCATGGGGATCTGCCGGGCCATGCTGAACAGGTTGCGCTGCAGCGCCTGCTGCACCAGCCGCTGCTCCTCCTCCGTCATGCGCGGCACCTTCTTCTCCGGGGGCTCTCCCGCCTCCAGCCTCTCCCTCAGCTGCTCCAGCGTGGCCGTCCTGGCCGCCACGGTGCCCTGCTGGCCACCCAGCGTCACCGGCACGGCCACGCGGCTCGGCATGGACACCGTCAGGGGCACGCCGTCACCTGGGCGAGGAGGGGTCACTCAGCCAGGGGACACTGCCAGCACCCTGCTCCCACATTGCCAGGCCATGCAGTTTGGCATGGACACGGTCAGGAGGGGTCACTCAGCCAGGGGACACTGCCAACACCACATCCCCACATTCCCAGGCCATGTGGCCCAGCATGGACACGGTCAGGAGGGGTCACTCAGCCAGGGGACACTGCCAACACCACAGTCCCACATTCCCAGGCCATGTGGCCCAGCATGGACACGGTCAGGAGGGGTCACTCAGCCAGGGGACACTGCCAACACCACAGTCCCACATTCCCAGGCCATGTGGCCCAGCATGGACACGGTCAGGAGGGGTCACTCAGCCAGGGGACACTGCCAACACCACAGTCCCACATTCCCAGGCCATGTGGCCCAGCATGGACACGGTCAGGAGGGGTCACTCAGCCAGGGGACAATGCCAACACCAGAGCCCCACATTCCCACCACGCCACGGACGTGCTGACCTTTCCTGAGGGCCGGCGACACGCGGGGGTTGCCGGTGGTGCCGCCTGGTGCCACGCCGATGATGGGGAAGCGGATTTTGGGGGGGGACAGCAGGGAAGGAGCCCCCGGCGGGGAGGGAGAGTAGCTGAACAGCGAGGAGCTGTAGCTGGGCCGCCGGCCCTCGCGCCGGTTGCCGTCGATGGCGGCCTGGAGCTCGGCCGGGGAGCTCAGAGACTTCTTCTCGCACTCGTAGGCGTAGAGGTACTTCATGTACCTGGGAGAGGGACACAGAGAGGGAAACTCAGGTGGCACGGGGACAGGAGGCTCATCCCGAGGTGCTCGGCAGGTTTGGGGTGTTCGGAAGCGTGGCTTGGTCTGGATGTGCTCAGTGTTTGTAGGGAAATGTGCCACTAGATATTGCTGATCACACAAGGGGGGAAGAGTCAGCTGGAACGCCTTCACAACTGGAATATCCTCAAAGGATCATCCAGAATTCCCTCACAACTGAAATATCAGCAATAAATCAGCCCAGAATTCCCTCACAAATGAATTATCCTCAAAGAATCATCCAGAATTGCCTCACAACTGAATAATTACCTATAAGCCACCCAGAATTCCCTCACAAATGAAATATCCTCAGCAATTCATCCAGAATCCCCTCACAACTGAAATACCCTCTATAAATCATCTAGAACTCCCTCACAACTGAAATACTTCCTATAAATCACCCAGAATTCCCTCACAAATTGAAATATCATCTATAAACCATCCAGAATTCCCTCACAACTGAAACAGTACCTATAAAGCATCCAGAATTCCCTCACAAATGAAATATAATCTATAAACCACCCAGAATTCCCTCAAAATTGAAATATTATCTATAAACCACCCATAATTCCCTCACAACTGAAATATTATCTAGAAACCATCCAGAATTCTCTCACAGCTGAAATAATCATCTAGAAACCATCCAAAATTTCCTCACAATTGAATTACTATCTATAAATCATCCAGAATTCCCTCACAACTGAAATATTATCTAGAAACAATCCAGAATTCTCTCACAACTGAAATATCATCTATAAACCATCCAGAATTCCCTCACAACGGAGTAATTATTTATAAATCAGCCAGAATTCCCTTATGACTTAACTATTACCTATAAATCACCCAGAATTTCCTCACAGTTGAAATATTATCTATAAACCATCCAGACTTCCCTTACAATTGAAATATTATCTAAAAATCATCCAGAATGCACTCACAACTGAAATATCCTCAATAAATCATTCAGAATTCCCTCACAATTGAAATATTGTCCATAAATCACCCAGATTTCTCTCACAACTAAACTATTATCTACAAATCAACCAGAATTCCCTTACAACTGAAATATTATCTATAAATCACCCAGACTTCCCTCACAACTGAAATATTATCTATAAACCATCCAGACTTCCCTTACAACTGAGAAAAGAGGCAAAAAGGCTGGGGCTGGAAGGAGGTGAGGATGAGAATTCCCTTCAGGAGCTCCTTATGCTGAGGCATCATTTCCCCCTTTAGAGGCTTTACCTTGGCCAGTCTTTATTCTAAATATTTACTAATAATACTACTAATAATTCTACTATATTAATTATATTATATTATATTATATTATTTGTGTATTATATATTATATACTATACTATTAATAGCAATATTTACTACAAATAATTTACAACTAATAACAGGTATTTAATAACAGATATATCTAGCAATAATAAAAAACTATCAATGCAAACACCTAATAATCATCTAACCCAATAACAGCAAATACCCAAAAGCAAATGTCCAATAACAGATAAGTATCCAATAATCTTAATTGGATTATTCCAATAATATCCACTGGGATAATTGGATTATTCAAATTCAATTATTCCAATAATATCCAATTATTGATATTGATATATATCAGTATATATGTTAAAATTATATATATTATATATTTTTAAAAGTTTAAAGATATTTATATATCAATAACATATAATATATATATTATAAAAATATAGTATATATATTATATTTTATATAATAAATATGAACACTTAAATTTATATTTATAAAATACTTATATAGAAATATATATTTATAAATATATAAATATTTAAATAGATGCATATTTATATTAATATAAATATATAGTATATTTTATTATGTATTTATATAATGAATGCAAATAATAAAATTCATATTTATAAGATTTTTTATATTTTGTATATATTTATAAATGTATAAACATTTATATAATTAAATTTACATTTATATAAATATATAGCATATATTAATTATATATTTACATAATAAAAATATTTAAATTTGCATTAATAAAATGATTATATATTTTATACTTAAAGATAAATATATTTATAAATATACCAATATTTTTATATTTAAATACGTACCTATTTATATATAGTATATATTATATTTATATAATGAATAGAAATATTTAAATTTATATTGATAGCATATCTATATATATTATATACTTACACTATATTTTATGTATTTATAAAACACGTGTTTCCATTTCTAAACACAACCACACACATGAAGCCAGCCACATGTACAGTGCCATGACAGGAGCACGCCCCGTTGCCACCCGTGAACTCACTGCGTGCGCAGGGTGAAGGCGGCGCTGGTGATGGAGGTGGGCAGGTTAAGGCCTTTGGTGATCTCCCTCCAGATCTTCTTGTTGATGATCTCCACCAGCCCGCCCTTCTCGGTCACCAGCTTGTAGAGCATGTAGAGATCCAGGATCTGCTTGGCCATGATGGGGATCCTGTTGATGGGAGTTCCTGCAAAAAGGGGCACGGGGAGCATGAGCTGGGGGGGATCCTGTCCATGGTCCCAGGACGAGGGAAGAGATCAATCTGCCTCCATATTTATTAGAAGGCTGATATGTTATGTTATAGCATGTTATATGATATCATAGCATATTACATCATGTTATATATGCCATACTAAAGCTATACTAAAAAGAATAGAGAAAGGAATACATCAGAAGGCTAGCAAAGGAATGAAATAATAAAAACTCCTGACTGCTCAGAGCCTGGACCACGATTGCTCATCAAGTAAAAACAATTTATGAGACCAGTCGAAGATGCACCTGCTGGTAAACCATCTCCAGACCACATTCCACAGCCATCAGATAGTTATTGTCTACATTTCTTTTCTGAGGCTTCTCAGCTTCTCAGGAGAAAATCTGAAAGGATTTTCATAAAATATCAGTGACAGGATCCAGCTCTCTCTGCCCTGTGGTATTTTTGGGGTCCCCGGATGAGAGAGGAATGAATCTGACTCCATGTTCTCAGAAGGCTCATTTATTATTTTATGATCTATAAGATATTAAAGAATACTATACTAAAGAATACAGAAAGAATACAGACAGAAAGCTAGAAAGATACTACTCAAAAACTCGTGACTCTCTCCTCCAGTCCAAAAAAGCTGTCCCATAATTGGCCAAAAACCACTCACATGCAACCAATGGAACAACCACCTGCTGGTAAATAATGTCCAAACACATTCCACAGCAGCAAAACACAGGAGAAGCAAATCAGATAATTACTGTTCTCATTTTTATCTGAGGCTTCGCAGCTTCCCAGGAGAGAAATCCTGGGAAAGGAGATTTTTCCAGAAAATATGACAGTGACACTGCCCTAACAGGAAATTCAGAGAATTTGCAGCTTGGCTCGAGGTGTTTCCATGGAAAACCCTTTCCTGTGGGTAAAGGGAATTAGCAGAGCAATAAAAACCTGCAGCTCCTGGAATAGAAAGAGGGGAAGTTGGGACTATTGAATGGGTTTTATGAGCTCAGGGTTAAAATCCTTGGATAAAAATGCTCCCTCGGGGCCCAGGATGTGCTGTTTGCCTGGGAACAGCAGAACCAAGGCAATCAGCACTGGAGAACATCTCTCCCCCTCAGAATTCCATCCTCCCTTATTTGTTGAACACTTGGAACAACCTGGAGAGGTAAATAAAGGCTGCTGCTTCCAGCCTCCCACTTCTTTTCCGTCCCAAACAATTCCCTGACGAGGCCACAGCAGCTCTGAGCATCCCAAAACCAGGTCCTGCTCCATCCTTCCTGCTTGGTTCTGTGTATTTTGGGTTAACGTGGAATAAAATCTGATTTTTAACCTCTCCCTTTGGCAGCTCCTGGAAGTGCCAACGCCCAAACGAAGGAGATTTAGGCACGGAGAGGAAGAAGGAATAATAAAAAGCTGAAGTGGCAGAGCTTTTATTTGGCCTGGGAAACTCTGTCCTGGATCAAAGGGCCGCCCAGCCCATCCTGTCCCCACAATGGGCAGCCCCAGCCTGGCAGGAAGGCTGGGAGGGGGGCAGGGGACAATTGTGGAATCCCCAGTCCCCAGGGGAGGCTGGTGCCACTGCTGGCAGCCCCTGATCCCCCATTTATGGCCCTATAAATGGGTTTATTCCGTGCCATGAAAGGGGCCCTGCAGATGTCCTTGTCAGACATCCAAGGGGGATTTTTTTTTTCCCTGTCTCTTCTTTGGGAATCCCATTAGGCATTATTGGCTCGTGGTGCCAATTCCCACAGGTTAATGAGATGCTGGATAAAACAGCCCATTTTTGCAGCTCTAAAGGGCTGAAAACCCCACAGATTCAAAGTGTTTCAATTTATATCAATCCCAGCCTCTTCCCCTGTCCGAGCAGCCCAAGGAGCAGATCCACATCCCCTTTCCAAATTTCAGGGGCACAGACCCCTCAAGGAGCACGGAGAGAATTCCAAAACCTCCAAACTCTCTGTGGCTCCGTCCCTCCCTCCCAAAAATCCTCAGTTTCCTCTGTTTTTTTTCCCAAGCATCCATTTTGTCTCGGGGTGACAGCAGCACTGGGAATCAGGGCATGATCAAGTTACCTCCAGCTGTCACTCATCACCTGAGTCACACCCGCAGGGAAAACAGGGAAATATTTCCTTCCAAAGCCCCCAGGACAGCCCAAAATTCCCCTCCTTTCATTAATTAGCCACAGCAGCAAAGCCTTTGCTGGGCTGGGGGAGGATGAAGCCCCTCTCCCCCCAGCCAAAGCCACCCCAGTTTTCCCAATCCAATTTAGGAAATGGCATTAATTTGTCCAGCAGGGACTTTCATCCAGATGGAGTGAAAGGGAAGAGCCATGGATAAGTTCTCAGCAACTCAGAAAATATTAACAAATATCTGCTTTTTAGTACCCTGCTTTCCCCCAAACAAGCTTCTACCCTCCTCCAGATTTCCCCAGCTCAGCAGATGGGAAAATACACAAATGAATAATCCAGATACTCCTGTGAGAGGCACAAAGATCACCTGCAGCACCGGGAAATGAAGGATGGAGCAATTCCAGGGAGCTGCTCCCAGCTGGAGCAGGAACAGTGAGGGGGTCTGAACCCCCTGAATCACCTCAGTACCCTCAGGACAGCTTCCCTCCCTCAGCTGTGCTTCAAACAGGAGCAAAGTGCCCTGAAATTTCATTTATAAACCCAGCTAAACAGGGATTTATACAGAAACGCACATTTATAAACTCAGCTGAATGTGTTTACACACAGAATATAAATATATCCACTGAGACAAAACCTCGAGTTTGGTTAAATGATAAAATTTCTTTGTGCAGCTGAGAAATGTTGCAGCAGGGACAGAACTGCTCCCAGAGCTGCAATAATTCCATCACCTCAGCACCCCCAGGACAGCTTTGCTTTAAACAGGACCAAAGTGCCCAGAAATTTCATTTACAAACCCAGCTACATCGAGATTTAGATGGAACACACACATTTACAAACTCAGCTAGACAGGGCTTTATACAGAAACATGCATTTATAAACTCTATTACACAGAGAATTTACATTTATCCACTGAGATAAAACCTCAAATTTGGTTTCCTCCCCCCAAAATAAAATTTCTTTGTGCAGCTGACAGAAACTGCAGCAGGGACAGAACTGCTCCCAGGAGCTGCAATAATTCCATCACCCCCAGGACAGCTTCCCTCCCTCAGCTGTGCTTTAAACAGGACCAAAGTGCCCCGAAATTTCATTTATAAAGCCAGCTAAATCGAGATTTAGATGGAAACACACATTTATAAACTCAGCTAAACCGGGCTTTATACAGAAACACCCAGCTAAATATGTTTACACACAGAATATAAATATATCCACTGAGATAAAACCTCGAGTTTGGTTCCCCCCCAAAATAAAATTCCTTTGTGCAGCTGAGAAACTTTGCAGTAGGGACAGAACTGTCCCAGGAGCTGCAATAATTCCATTTTCCACTGCAATAATTCAATTTTCCACTGCAATAATTCCATTTTCCACTGCAATAATTCCATTTTCCACTGCAATAATTCCATTTTCCACGTGTTCCTCCAGCACTGCCCCAACACCACCCCGCAGGTCCCGCAGAGAGCCAGTCCCGGTGAATTCCCGGTGTTTTCCAGAGGGATTTGGTGCCCCCTCCTCCCCCAGGCCAGCCCGGGGAAGGCGATAAAGGCAGGGTTTTATTGGAAACCCCTAGCGCTGCCACAGGAAAGGCTGAAAGGGCAGATCCTGAGCCGGGCAGGGCTGTCAGGGCTCTGATGGATTACTGTCATCTGGCAGCGCCAGGATTAATGAGCCCGGGGCCAGGGGGCAGAATTCCAGAGGGAAAGGTCAGAGCCGGGGCCACGGCACAAGACTTGTTGCCTTTTGATGGTAAACTCATTTTACTGTACTTGCAAGCCTCCTGCCCCGAGCCAGAGGAAGATCCTCCTCTCTCAGTTTCCTTGGAAAATAACTTCTCCTGCATCTCAGCAGAGCCCCAGCCCCGTAACTTGGCTCACACCAGCCCCAAAACTTGGTGCACCTCAGCCCCATCACTTGGCTCATCCCAGCTCTGTAATTTGGCTCAATCCCAGCTCTGAAACTTGGCTCATCTCAGCCCCATAACCTGGCTCATCCCAGCTCCAAAATTTGGCTCATTACAGCCCCATAACTTGGTGCACCTCAGCCCCATCACTTGGCTCATCCCAGCTCTGTAATTTGGCTCAATCCCAGCCCCATAACTTGGCTTGCCAGCCCCATAATTTAGCTCATTCCAGCCCTATCACTTGGTTCTTCCCAGCTCCATCACCTGGCTCATCCCAGCCCCATAATTTGACTTCCCAGCCCCATCACTTGGCTCACCACAGCCCCATAATTTGGCTCACCCCAGCCCCATCCCTTGGCTCATCCCAGCCAGATCACCTGGCTCATCCCAGCCAAATGAGGGGCACGAGGAGTCAGTTCCCACTGGGAAAGGGAGGATGCAGAGTTGATAAATGGAAGGGGAAAGCAGAGTCATCCCAAGGGCTGCTGGTTTTCTGAGCAGAAAGGCAGCCACAATCCAGGTTTCTGGGATAAAGGGTTTTCCAGAGGAAGGCTGACTGGAGCCAGAAACATCTGTGGCCTTTGAGGGAATGTCTCCCACAGAATTCACAGAATCACTGGGTTGGAAGAGACCTCCAAGACCATAGAGTCCAACCCAGCACCAACACCACAAATGAACCCTGGCACCCCGTGCCACATCCAGGCTTTGTTAACACACCCAGGGATGGGGACTGCACCACCTCCCCGGGCAGAACATTCCAGAACTTTATCACCCTTTCTGAAAAAACTTTTTCCTGATATTCAACCTAAATTTCCCTTGAAAAGCCTTTTCCCCTTCCTAAGCTCTTGAACTGCAGTAGATATATCTGATTTGGCCCCTACAACTAGCAAAATTTCAGGATGTCCTTAGCAAAATAATTTTGCATTACCCTAAAAATCACATCTGGAAACTGATGACAGTTTCTCAAT